TGAGCCCTCGATGCCTCCTTTTTCTTTCGCTCGTACGCTTGTCTCATTACCCTGTTGCCACAGCGCCCGAACCTGGAAGTTCTCTGCGAGAATCAGGGGGGATAGCCGGCCAATCCAAATCAACAATCATCCGAATCTTCAAGCAGCCACGGAATCCGCATAAGCTCTGTCAGATATTTAGCATCAAGTGGAGACAAAGCAGGTGGATAGATGCACCAGAAACTGCATCTGGACGGATTGAGTGCCTGAAACCAAGCCCTTTTCACCCCATTCACCACAGGCTTCGCAGCTCTTACGCTCTAGAGAAGATGGGTTACGACTAACAGCCAGGCTCACTACGAAGTTAGACGAGCTCCAAGGGGCGCAGCCGGGTCCTGATTCGGGTCGTCAGTCTTGCTGAGCACAAGGTGCAATCTCCTGAAAATCCTCGATAATCAATACCAAGACTCTCAATCCGCCAGGGAGGCATCTGTTACAAAAGCGACCGTACAGCAATCTGAAGATACTGGAGCAGGAGAAAGTTACTCAGAATTAAAGGAAGCGAATGATCTGACAAGAGTTTCCCGCGTGACTGGACTCGGACTCGATCACAGGATGGTGGAATCAATGTCTTCAGATTCGCAGATTCTAGACTCTCACCAATCTCTCAACTAACTTGGATGGGTCAGCATACAGACGCCCGACGGTATCACCTCGTTCCAGGCGGTGTAACTCATTCTTCAAGTTCCCGAACGCAACCTCCTCGATAGCAGGAGTGATTTCCTTCTTTGCAACCATTTTCAGCGCCATCTCAACTTCGTCCATTGATGACCCAACAGACCCCACAAGGTGCACGCCCAAGGCGACAAAGTTGTGCGTGTCGATCGTGGCCTCCTTCTTGGTGAGCCCGACGAGAACAACTTTCCCACCCGCTTTGACGGCTTTGGCGGCAGCAGCGGTGGTTATGCCGACTCCAGCAAAGTCGAAAACAACATCAAACTTGACGCCAGGGAAGTCATCCAGGGATCTTCCACAGCAGTATGCCCCAGACATGAGCGCTGCAGGATATTTGCGGCGATGGAGGTCGACCCCATAGACCTTGGCGCCACGTTGAGATGCAATCTGAACAGCGGATAATCCGAGGCCACCTAGTCCAATGATTGCAACTTTCGAGGATTTTTGAACTTGCCCCTCAGTTGCAACGGCATGATAGGCTGTCGCAACGGCATCCGTGGCAACGGCGGCTTGCGCAAAGCTGACTCCGTCGGGTATAGGCAGGGTCTTCGATTCGTAGAGCAACACGTATTCGGCGAACCCACCGTCTATGCCGATGCCGGGGCTTTTGACAACATCTCCAATCTCTACCGGGTGCTTCGCGGTGATTACAGACACGACTTTGTCTCCAGCGGCAAACTTCGAGACCTCATGTCCACAACCCATCACTACACCAGCAATCTCGTGGCCTAGGATGATGGGCCTGTTCCAAAAGAACGTGTTATCAAGTCCAGAAATGATGTTGCAATCAGTGTGGCAAAGCCCGGTGGCCTTGATCTGGACAAGAAGCTGGTCCTTGGCCGGGACTGGAACCCGCAGCTCACGGTACTCTAGGCCTTTCGCTGGGGTTGAGAACTGGTAAGCCTTCATCGTCTGAACCATTTCGACAGCGTTCCAGATAATCTCGAAGATTTTGCCAAAAGATTGGGGACTGGCTAAAGGTTGTACGGTATGATATGATTGAGCTTTATGACACCAGCTTTGTTTGTTATTCGTAAATACCAATGTTTGCGCAAATGGAGGAGAGCGAGTAGAGAGACAATGATGACGGGAGTTTGCGTGTTCAAATGGTAACTAGAGAGACGTTTTATTACATCTTTGACGGCATCTATGCAGCAAGACACTCCGCATCATGACGACGTCTTACCGTGCGCATGATTACTTAACATATCTTCTAGTCGAAATTGAAACAGTCTGGAGAGTTGAAATCACTATTCACCAGCATCTACATGATCCAGAGATTTGCGTCTTAATCTCATTTCGTTCTACCGTCTACGCCTGTCCGCTTGAAAACTGACTTGGAGCCGGCGGGTCCGGATTACTCCGGCGCTCCATCCGGAACGATTACTGATTAATTACCCCACATCGGACCGTGCCTTAAGATGGCTCCACATTGCCCCGGATCCGAAGGTTGGGGCACAGTTCGTATCAGTGCCATTGAGTAATCAAGCGCAACAGCTGAGTGAGGAGGTCTTTGTGAGGTACACAAGTTCCCCATTCGTCCTACTAAGCATACTAAGTCCTTCCCCACGCCAGAGCTTCCGAGGGTAATTTCGCCAGTCGGAAAGGATGACATATCGAGGACTCTTCACCGGAAGGTCAGGATGTAGTCCAGCAGTGCTCTTAGACACGAGAAAAGCGATGGAGGCAAAGGAATGTTTATAAAGTCGACTCAAATGATAGTTCGAGTTTGAACTTGATTTCTCTCATGGAATGAATACAAATTAGCAACTTCATCTCACTAAAAACTTTCAACATCCAGTCTAGTAACATTTGACAACGAACTTTCCTCATGATCAAAATGTCTACCTATCAAACAGTCCAGACTCAGTATATCGCCGTCGATAATACTCGAATCGCTTATCGCCGGATCGGGGTAAAGAGCAAGATCCCTTTGCTTTACATCAACCATCTTCGTGGTTCAATGGACACTCTCGATCCTCTTCTCTTCAACACCATTGCGAGATCAAGAGAGGTCATCGTTTATGACAGCTTCGGTATCGGGCACAGCGAGGGCGAGGTGCCCTCTTCTACTGAAGTCATGGCTTCAATTGCAGCCAAATTCCTTGCTGCCCTTGGTGTTTCTCAGGCTGATGTCATTGGCTTCTCCATGGGAGGCGGTGTGGCTCAAATTCTGGCATGGGATTATCCTCAGCTGGTTCGCAAATTAATCCTGGCTGGGACCCAGCCAGGTGTCGGAGAAGGAGTTGTCCTGCCGCCCCGTGAGGTTCTAGAAAGTGCCGGAACAGCCAACGACGAGCCGCCTACCAAGGAGGACATGTTCCGTCTTTTCTACTGCCCGTCGGACACGAGCCTAGCACTTGGAGAAGCGTGGTGGAAGCGGATCCATGAGCGAAAAGTTGGCGGCGAGGAGCGCAAAGAATATCTGATCGGACCTGGAGCAAGGGCCCAACTGAACGCAATCTTCTCATTCACGGTTGACACGGGCAACTTTGAGCGCATGAAGACTATCAAGGCTCCCACTTTAGTCACTAACGGTCACACTGACATCATGTCGCCAACTTCCAACAGCTTTACTCTTCAACAAAACTTGTCGGATGCTCAACTCATCATCTATCCAGACGCCGGTCACGGTCATCTCTTCCAGTACCCTGAGCTTTATACGTACCATCTCAACCTATTCCTTGATAGTGAGGAGTAAGCCTTCTCAAATAGCTTTCTGTTGTATAATCACATCTTGAATAAAAAACGTTGGCACGCACATCGCGCGAGAGCATCAAGCATCGTACATGTGGTTATGACACGTTTGACTGGAATTGAGTGAGATCTGATTACTTCCAAGCTAGTCAAAGGTCATCCAGGTATGTTCAGCGTATGGTCAAGGTGCCGCTTGGAAGATAAAGTTACAACTCGAGGGAGAGCCTTCTATCAAGAGAGTTTAGATACGAAGCCCCGTTCCATCCATCTCCGAAACTGACGCGATCCTGCTACGCGGCAGCCCTGGACCCATCTAAACCCAAACCACCAAAAGGCTTTTAGTAGCGGAGAAACTCGCAGTACCAAGGTTAATGTTCTATTTTGCAGCTGTGATCTCGTTTTTCGATCGCACATCTGACGCAAACTACATGTACAATCACGACAACAATTCACTACCTCACACTTCTCTCGTCATTCAAATTTGAACAGCCAATAAATTCACATCTGTCCTAAACTCGTCAAGATGCATCTGTCAGCTTTCTTTCAGGTCCTTACTGCCGCCTTGATCACTCCTGGCATGGCACTTCCAACCGACTTTAACGAAAGTCACCAAGCAACAACCAACCAAACGCTTCCCACTGCGATGAGCGACGTCGTTTCAATGGAGGAATTGAACGGGGCTATGACTACCATCGCAACATCGACAGCGTGTATCCACGTAAGTAATCCCATCACTGCCGTATTAATTGCTATCTTCTCACCTAACCGAAGGCGAGTTTGAGAGGACTTTGCCCTGCACTCTGCGCCATTACCGCTATTGCAGGCGATAATATCTTCCTACAATGTGTACGTGGATGCGATTGCCGACCCAAAAAGTATGGCGGGGTTTAGTTTCCAAGAATACATCAGATGTAACGATTATCATGAGTTAACTTGGGCTGGCAATTTGGCAACCTCCTCATTGCAGAGGGACCCGCGTCAAAGACTGGCCACAGTACTGTACAGACATGATGTACCTTCCTAGTCATCAGACAAGGCTAGAATTTTTATGACGGCCTCGGCAATAACTCGACCATAGCATCAAGTCGCCGGAACAGTTGCCACAAATAGAATCAACATCAAATCTCGTAGCATTACATAAATCAAGCAAGTCAGTAAATATTGGCGCGTTACTTGTATGACTTATGCAAACCACACATTCTCTGACACATATTTTTGCCGTTCTTCGTCATGTGTATCTACCCTGTTCAACAACGTAATCATCAATGTTGGTGCCTACAGATCCATGATGAAGCGGAGTCTACCTAAGGTACTCCAAGATAGGTTCCATAACCAGGATCTAATTTTAGTGAATCTGGTTCGAACATGAGATGTGGAGATCTCGCATAGCCTTGGGTACCACTAGTTTATGATAGATAACTACTCAGGTCACTGGTTAAAGTGGTTGGCATGGGTGATCAATTCCATAAGATCAATTGGGATTCTATTCGGAACTCCAACATGTGAGGTATTCTCGCTTTCCGTTTCCGGTGCATCGATCTAAGCCGGAAGAGCATTCGGATTTAGGCTATTCTAGTGGCTACTTGCATTTAGAAGACCTCCTCCTGCTCATCATCGTTTGTCAACTGAACGTTGGGGTCGATATCGCGCTTGAAAACCTCCTCCTGCTCGTCATCATTGGTGAGCTGAACGTTGGGGTTGATGTCCCTCTTGAAAACCTCCTCCTGCTCATCGTCGTTTGTCAACTGAACGTTGGGGTTAATATCCCTCTTGAAGACCTCCTCTTGCTCATCATCGTTGGTAAGCTGAACGTTGGGGTTGATGTCGCGACCCAGGAGACCCTTGGCGGCCTCGGCATCCTCAGGGTTCTCGGCAGCAAGAGCCTGGATGGCGGCGTTGAGATCGTCCTCGCGCTTGAAGACTTCCTCCTGCTCGTCGTCGTTCGTAAGCTGGACATTAGGGTTGATGTCACGGCCCAGTAGACCCTTAGCGGCCTCGGCATCCTCAGGGTTCTCAGCGGCGAGAGCCTGGATGGCGGCATTGAGCTCGTCAGCGCGGGCAGCAAGTGTATCGAGAGGTGCGGCCATGGCGGCGGCGACCAGAGTAGTGAGCGCGACGGTGAAACGCATGCTGGCGGTATTGACTTGAATGAATGATTAAACTTTGTACGTTGAGTTGAATGAGCGCAGCTCGTAAGTGAAGAATGAATATTATGAGTGGACCGGCACAGAAATAGGACGCTGAGATTAGGGAGTTCGTCAAAAGATGAAAGATGGGTGGACGAATACGGGTATTTCAACATTTTCGTAGGTCAACAGGGCGGATGCCTCGGATCGCCACAAACTCGACCAGCAGCAAGCTTAGAAGCTCCCGAGACGCACTGCTGCCGCAGAGCCGGTGTTGTGGATATCGAATGGCATCCCGCTGACGTTTCTTGGCAACGCGGACTCTATTTCCATCTCGAAACGGCACTTTCGTCTCGCCTTGGCGAACGATTTTGGGTAGGTGCTTGCCCACTGTGCTCGCGTTGTGTGGTGTTGTTCTGATGTACATTGCGAAGGCGTTTCGAGTATCAGGCGAATCGCATTTCTTTCTTGCCGTGGGGAGGCCTCGAGCAGGGGCAGAGGTTCGTCGGCTCGGTGGGTGAGATTCGTGGCCCAGTTTGTTTACGCTGATCAAACCTGGCCAGCACGTCCAGTAGGATATGCGCGATGAGGGGTCTCCCCGCACGGAAAGGCTGCGGGTTGGATGAAGAAACATCGGGTGAAGCGATACTTGTCGGGAGCCAGAGATTCCGTGCCCAGAGCCTCATTTCTTGCATTTCATGCGGCACGAGTGCTCGGACGGCGAACGGATGAGATTGGTTTGGTTCTCACATGAATCATTCTAGTGTCCCTCAGCCAGAAGACCTGAAAAGCCGGTCATCACAGCCACGTTTGGGTCGTTAGCGGGAGACAGCTCATCGTCACGGCCTCACCAACTTGATAAAGCGAAACTGGGCTCTTCGGAACGGCAAACAAGAATGCGAGTTGCAACGGGGGTTATGTCGATCCTGAAGACCTCCCGAGACGGCCCCATGCCGGGGGATTTTGCCGCCATCCCGCTATTGCGTTGCAGCGTTTCGTTTTGCGTCTGGAGCTGTCCCAAAAGTGTCCCAGCGGCGGCGTGACCGTGCACACGAGGTTCCTGTAGATGTAAACTTGGCGCGTCTCCTTCACTCCACTTAGGAACATATGTTATGCATATCTCTTAGGAACATTCTGCTTGAATACTTAGGTGTTTAGGTTATCCAAGAAACTCGCCGCTGATCGGCGGTCACGAATTACCGATCGGTTGGTGAGCCTGGTCGATGTTGCTGGGATCAACCTTTAGACCAAGAGAGCAATTCCTTGTTCGTTCCTCTGAAATCAGCACCTCACCAAAGTTGGGAGGCCCAAAAGAACCCAGTGCTTCCCTAAAAATTTGAGCATTCCCGTCACCTGTGGCAAGTGATCTGTATAGTGAGGCAAGTCTGAAGTACGGCCCCGGTGAGCACCGGAGTCAGGTCTCGCCTCACCTTTCAGCACAGCAGAGGGCAGCTTATGCCCTCGCAACGGCCGGCGAATCAGTTGATCGGGATCACGGCGGATACATGATCAGCGTGAGATCTTAGGTGAGACGGTTAAAATATGGGAGGCTCTCGACTTGCCAAGCAATTTTAAATTGTGTCCCGTCGCGCTCTCAACTCTATGCCGACGACCAGGTAGCCTAACATACATGGCTCATTATACTGGTAATCATCAAATGTCCTTCGACTTCGTTGCCAAGCGATAGTCCATGCCTACCGTCACACTCCCGAACCAAAGCGCCAACTTATCCACGATAAGGTTCTTTCTTCCATACCAAGGTCCCTGGTTAGTTACCCCGGGCATGCGACCGTGCGCGCGGGTGAAGTAGTTGGATGTGGCATCTACACAAGGCAACCTGGGCGAGTTCTTCTTCTCCTCGTCCGACAAGACCGGGGTGGCAGCAACGGCACCGGTCTTCTGCATCTGCTTGATGACACGGATGCAAAGCCGGGTCACGGTATCGGCGCCAGGAGTCCAGGTTTGAGTGACGTAGCCGATAATTGCAGCCGCATTGGGCACACCGTCGAGCATGCATCCGCGCCAGCTGTACTTTTCTCCAACCTTGACGGGGACGCCATCGACAGTCACGTCCGTACCTCCGAAAAGCTGCACGTGGAGTCCAGTTGCCGTAACAATAATGTCGGCAGGCAGATGACGACCGGATTTGGTGAGAATGCCATCCTTCGTCACCGTCTCGATATGGTCCGTAACAATCTCCGTGTTGGGCTGGTGCAGGGTCTTGAAAACGTCTCCATCTGGACACATATTGAGGCGCTGCTCGAAGGGGTTGTACTTGGGTTTGAAGTGAATATCGACAGGGTAGTCTTTGGGAAGTCGCCGCTTTGCATCGAATCTGAGGAACTGCTTGGCCAAGTTGGGGAAGCCCAAAACAATTTGGATAAAGACGGTCTCCAGGAGAAGGTCCTTGAGCAGGATGAACCAGTTCGCCAAGAACAAAGGTAAGAACCTTTTCGCGGCTTTGTCGACTGGTGATTCCGCCCCAAGTGCGAAAACATATGACGGACTGCGCTGCAGGATGGTGGTGAAGCCAGCTGTTTTGGCAATGTTAGGGAACAAGGTCATGGTGGTGGCGCCAGAGCCGATGATGATGACGCGCTTTCCGGTGTAATCAAGGTCTTCGGGCCACCACTGAGGGTGGATCGTCTTGCCCTCAAAGCTCTCGATTCCGGGGATGTGTGTCTCCAGTGCCTTCTCGTAGGAATAGTATCCGGAGCAAACAAAGAGGAACTTGGCCTTGATCTTCTTGGTTCCTTCGGGAGTATTGCACTCCAGAGTCCATCGTGCCTCATCGCTGTCCCAATCTGATGACAACACCTTGTGCTGAAATCGGATGTGCTTGTCGATGTGATGTGTCTTCACGGCATCTTCGATGTAAGCCGCAATGGGCGCGCCTTCGATAATCTTCTTGTCGTGAGGCCATGGATGCCATCCGAAGCCAAAGTTCGTCATGTTCGAGTCGGAGCGAAATCCGGGATATTTCCAGTAAGACCACGTCCCACCGACTACGTCACGGGCCTCAAGCACCGCGAAGGTGCTGTCTGGCAGCTCTGTCCGCACACGGTACGCGGCATTGATGCCGGAGATACCTGCGCCGAGGATGAGGATGTCTAGTTCTTCCGCCATAGTTTCTGTGGTCTGCTGGTAAGTTGAGGATCGACTTGCTGACATTCCAAGCTGTAATGGCAACAAAGATCTTATGTATGGAAACTCGTGCGATCAGAGGATTTTTTGTTGAGGCAAAGTGCATGCCGAGGCTTTTTTTTTTTCTGGCGGGACGTGCACGCGTTGATCTCGTGCTTGGTGGAGGATGCCATGCAGGGGCTCGCATGTCTTAAAGCGTCTTGACGCCTCCTCAACCCCTCGATCCAGCCTCTCTTTGGCTGCTTCGTCCCTCCACTACCATGCGAATGCGAACGACAGCGTCAGTCAAAACACGTGCCTCGGTACATTTGACGCTTCGACAGCGCTTCTGTGCGCCTATCGACCTATCGATTTGACGGCAACTTCTCGAAAGCTTTATCACGTTTGCCTCCATGCTTTAGGTTCTTCGCCGTCGCCTCATGTTTGTACTATCACCCGAACTCCTACGCTTCATCGTTACCTCATTGCCTCGGCAAGTACGTGTCTCTTACTCGCATTCGTTCGACTCGAGAAGGCATAGACCGATGCTCATGCAGTGGTCCTATCGGAGCAATAGAAAGCTATCTGATTTATTATGATGATGGCAGACGCCGATCTACCCTCCTAACTTCACATGCAAATGCCAACGCAAGTGGTTGATGGGTGGGAACATTTGGACAATGCATGAATCAAACTGGAGTTGTATCGATCAAATGAAACCTCTCAGTGGCTTGATATGTTGCTCAAGTTCAACGCCAGAAGAGCCTGTCTATGCCGCAGAAGCTTGACTGGCGCGCGCAGCGCTCGGAGCCCGGTAAAGTTTTTGATCTTCAGCATCAAATCAATTACAAGGATTAGCAGCGAGGCTTTTGGTGACGAGCATGTTGAGTTTGTCTCAATCTTTCTAAGGTAGGTAAAGTACCTAGGTATGATGGATGTACTATGTGAACTTGAGGTGCTTCCGTGAGGAGTCTGAAGATGGGACACAACGCGTTATTAAGAGGAAGAGAAGAAGTTCAAATATGCGTAGCAGCACTTTGCGTGGTATTCCCACCACACCTAAGTCGCACCGAATTCGCTTTTGCAGTATGTTTAATAGTAATGCTAGGCCGCACGGAAACACCAGTCTATTGATTATCTGAGGATACTACAATAATACATTTGATCGTAGAGTTACGCTTGCCCTGTCAGCAACCTGGCTGATACAACACTGAATTCTACATGTGCCGACAGAATTCACAGGGCAGGCGGACTAGGCAGAACAGATGCCACACTCGGGGAGATAGGCTAGCCAATCAAAGTTTGCATGACATGCGCAGGTGGGAATAGGATTGAATCATATTACCACTTAGTAAGTCAACCGAAAACCACGAAATACAGGACAGCAAAAGCGCCAAAGGTATTATTCAAGGATCATGAAAGCACAGAAAGATACTTAGTCAAGGAAGCCTATGTCAATCAAAGTGGTTACAGACTAAATATCTAGGTAGTTCCAAAGCGACAAACACACTCTTGGTGAATTTGTTTCTGCTTCAAAACGTTGTTGCCATGATGTCCAGAAACGTGAAGACTTTCGCGTAACCGCAATAGATAAAACAGTTCAAACCAAAGTTATCAATGCCATCACTTAGGTCTTCGAGGTTCTCTTCATGCTCACTGCTGTGACGTATAGTTGAAGCCTGAAAGATTAAAGACCTGCCAAAACATCATGAGCGCTGAAGAGGAAATGGGAAAGATAGCATTTGATTGGAAATATTTCTCAAATTTAGCCCAAAACAGTTGGGCTTGCTTTTAAATTTACTGTTTTCTTCGCGACCAAGTGAAGTCATGATATCTTTGGATTTGTAGTGCTTTGCTTTTTGAGCAACAGTCTGAATGAA